ATTCCGTCAGGTCCTCCCCGTACTCCACCGTGCAGCGGCCCTGCACGGCCTTGAAGTCCACCGTCACCTCCTCGTCGCTCCAGTACAGCAGGTTGATGTCCGAGTGGTAGCTGGCTTTCACAGACTTGTGGGTGTTCTCGGGCCTGCGGCAGACAGGGCGCTGTCCCTAGGGCCGCGCTTGGTGGGGCGCAGTCCCCGGGGCCCCCCTCGGAGCAGAGGTTACCGCCCCACGCCCAAGGCAGCTGGCTTGTTGTCCCTGCGGCTCTGGTCTGGTGACCCAGAGCGAGAGGAAGCCTGGGAACAGTGCTGAGCCCGCACAGGCGGGGGCTGGGAGCACGCGTCCCACCTCTGCGAGCACGGGGCAAACAGCAGCACCCGGGCTGGCTGAGCTGGGAAGCTCCCTCCTAGCCGCGGGGCAGACCAGGAGAAGGTCTGTCTGCGCGGCGCCCTGCCCTGGCTCCGGCCGCCCAGCCGGCTGCAGCTCACCTGTAGAATTTGTAGAGCCGCAGCTTGATGTCGGCCTCGTTGGGCTTGCCGTTGCTGCGCATGCTGCAGAAGATCTCCTTGATCCGGCCCACGCGGTACGGCTCCGGGGCATCCTGGTTGCTGCCCTTGATGTACTCAGAGTACTTGCGGTAGTGCTCGGGGTACAGCTCCTCGTCCACAGCCTCCTTCTTGGGGCGCTTGGCGGGGCTGGCCAGCTTCATGCTGAGTGGGGGGGAGCGCCGCGGGGCTGAGGGGGGCTAACTGCCTCGGGCGCAAGCCCCACGCGCTCCCCGCAGCAGGGCCCCTCTCCGGCCTGTGCAGCCCAGAGGCACGCCGGAGCCCAAGTGCCGCGGGGATACGCGGGGGTGGCAGGGCTGCACAGGAAGGGGCAAGGGTCCAAGGTCACTGCGGGAGCAGGGCTCTTGGCTGTTTGTACAGACTGGGGGCGGGGCACTCCGGGAATTCGGGAAGTGGATGAGGGCCGCGCTCTGGGAGGGGGTCGGAGCTGGTGTGCAGGGCCGGGGGCTCGGCTGCAGGAGAGGATTCTGACCTGGAGGAGGGTTGGGAGAGGTGCCAGGCCCTGCCCCAGGGTGCCAGGTGGAAGCCCTGCCTGCTGCACACCCCCGGGGGCCCCACGCACACGCCCTGCGCCGTAAGTCTGGCCCGAGCAGCCACTGCCGAGCTGCGTGCCAGGCAATTCAGAGCCAGATTACCTGGCGTGTGCCAGCGAGCCACGTTCTCCCTGACCCGGGAGACACCCAGCACCTGGCAGACGGGCTCTCACGGCCACAGAGCAACTGAGGAAGCTGCTGAGTTACCCTAGAGAAGGCTAAGAGGGGACGGGAGCTACCTGGGGGATTAGGGCAGCCGAGGGCGCTTTGGCCTGGTGGAGAACAGCAGAAGGAGACCCAGTGGCGGAAGGCAGACTAGAAGTGAGGAGGGTGATTGCGCAGGGGAACCGGTGGATTCTCCAGCACACGCTCTTGCAATCGAGACGGCGTGTCACCTGACGGAGCGGCCTGCGCCCACGACGCCGTCTACGTGTTGTGAGAGTCTAGCAACGGCAGCCGAGGGCGCTTTGGCCTGGTGGAGAACAGCAGAAGGAGACCCAGTGGCGGAAGGCAGACTAGAAGTGAGGAGGGTGATTGCGCAGGGGAACCGGTGGATTCTCCAGCACACGCTCTTGCAATCGAGACGGCGTGTCACCTGACGGAGCGGCCTGCGCCCACGACGCCGTCTACGTGTTGTGAGAGTCTAGCAACACCCGAGACACTATTTGCTGCAGCGTTTCCTGTTCCACTCGCGCGGCTGGAGGTCGGACCAAGCGACTGACACGGTCCCCTCCACTCTCAGCGATCTAGGAGCCCGTTTGCAGCTGGCTTGCTTGGCGCGCGATGTACAGCGGAAGCCAAGGCTCATGTGCTCTCCATCCTGGGAGATGCTACGAGGACCCTGTCTGGGGGCTGTGCATACACCCTGCCGACCGGAGACCCGCCGCCCGCCTGGCCAGAACCAACCTGAAGGAGAAAGCCTCGGGTAGGAGAAAGACGCCGTCCCCTAGCCTGTACTGCACGCCGTTCTTCGTTGCCAGGCCATAGAACATCTTCCCGTCCACCTCTTCCCGGGGCTCCATGACTTTAAGAATCTCCTTCTGCCTCACCTCGTCCAGGCGGGCGCAGCTCATGCAGAACCTGGGGAAGCAGACAGCTCAGAGGGCAGCTGGACCAAGCAGCTGTAGCTCAGGAACCGGCCCAGCTGCCGAGACACCGACGGGGGCTGTAAACTGCCTTTTGTTTGGCCTCCAAGCTCCTGGGGCCGGGCCTGCCTCTGTCACACACAGCCCAACCCCACGGGCCGGATCCCCGCAAGACAGCCCCACCGCGCCAGGCTTAGCCCACGGGGAAGGAGGGAAGTAGCACTCCGATTTGAGCAAGGCAGCGGCTGACCATGGTCCCGGACACAGTCGGCATCCCCCCCCAGGTACTGTTTGACCAGCGGCCGGGCCAGGGGACCAGAACCAGCCGGCCCGCCCTTATTGCTGGGACGCTCCGCACAGCGCTCCAAGACCGGCTTCCCTCTCCGTGCGCGGAGTCTCCCCCAGGCCCGGCGGCAGCGCAAAGCTCGGCTCAGCTGGGCTGCTGGCCAGAAGGCAGGTCCTTCGGGAAGATCCCGGGAGCAGCTGGCCTCTTGCACTCACTTGTACTTGTTGTCCTCCGAGGGCAGGATCTTCGGGGGAGACTCGAACCGGGCGTACTCCTGGTCATACCACATTTGGTAGAAATAGGTTCTGCCGTCGTCCTCCACCATCTTAATCTCCATGTCCAGCCCCCCCTGCGGGGACAGGCGATGCAGAGGGGTTGCGGCGAGGGCGCAAAGGAGCCTCCCAGACCTCGCCCGGGAAGTTACGCGGGCGGCGCCCACCTGCAATTCCTCCAGCGAGAGGCGCCAGGCCGCCTGGGCTCCATTCCCGGCCCTGCGGCCTGCTCTGTGCCCGTTTCCCCTCCCACCTCCCAGACCCGGGACCACCGGGCAACGGGGCCCTGACCTCGGCCACAGCACCGCCAGCCAGCGCCCAGCGGTTCCGGGGCGGCAG